TCCTCAACCAAAGGATAAATGAAGAATTATACCATGGAGTTAACAAACTACTTCAATTAAGCTACATATATACTTTTTAACTTGGTTCTTTTATAAGCATGGGGTCGATTTATGGCATGTCATTATAGGTAGGAAATAATACTATGACATAAAATGCATCATTAATACTAAAAGAACTAGTGTGATATATTTATATGGATAAATAATATAAAAGAAACCAATTAAGCCAAAGTCACTGAAGTATAAATAACACAAAAACGTATCATTCAGTAAGCTACTGAAACAAACTAATAATTAAGGTATTCCCTATCAGTCTAAAACAATGGAGTCAGGATTGGGTTAAGCAAGTGGGGCACGGAACAGAATTATGCTCTACTAGTTGGAGATAGTACTCTAAAACACGCAGTGAAGTATTTTTCAAAAAGTTATTATATTAAATGTTACCTTTCTGTGCTACTCAATTAATTATTTAAACTTTTATGAGAGAGACTAGATTCACATACTCGCAATGACGAGGAAGATATTTAAAATTCATTACAGTACATTAAACTTGCACTGAATAGTTAGCATCACTGCAAAATAAATAAATAGTCAGTTTGCTTTGATCAGCAGAAATTCTGATAAAATCAGCAAAACACCAATTAAAATGTGAAAAATATCACCTACTGTCATTATTCTAATTGAACCAAGACATATAGAAGAAACTGATTCAATGTTTATTTTCCTATCAGCTGTGTCTTCAAACTGTAAATCATTACAGCTTTTACTTGCATACCTCTCTCACAACCCCAGAATTAATTCTGCAGATGGATTTACTATGGACTGCATAGTACTAGGATAGGACCTCCAATCATAAACAGAATAATAAGGTCTTGCTGCACTTCTGTGAACTCCTGTTGGGAGGGGCAGCGAGGGGCAGTAATCCATTGAGAAATACGTGAACAGAAATGAAATCTGACAAGTGATTTTTGCCTTTGTTCTTTGGAAACAGGTGGGATAGAATGAAATAATTAAGCTGAATTTACAGTTGCATCAATTTCTGATTCATCAAGTTTGTCAGCATTGAGCCTTTATCTTGTGAATAATCACATCCTTGCCTGAAAGTTAGAATACTTGAAAGACATAAAAGGCAAAATCTCAGAAACTAGTCTGGAATTTTGAGGCACTCTTTTTCAATCAAAACAGGATATTTTACACAAACACAATTCTCATACACTCATAAACTCCTGCCAATCGAAAATGAAAAGTTTATTTTGCATATCTAATCTTCAGCTTATCGTTAGCTACCCAATTAGGATAACCTGGGTCAGTCACTTGGGATCCTGACTGTTTCAGGTGAACTTTCTGAATATGGCTGTACATCACTTTGAACAACTATATATTTCCTACAGACTTGGATGTCTTGATGTCACTCAGAAAAGAGAACCACAAGCACCCACCTACCAGTTGCCAGTAACAGAGCATAGGGAACACAAACAGAAACAGTGTGGGCTACTAGAGATAAGAGAAGACTAGTGTTTATACTCTGGGAGATCGCAGTGATAAGACACTCTGAGTGAGCCAGCTGCTGCTGGTTTCCTTGTGCACACATCAATTCCTCAGTGGTTTGCCTTTTGGAATTTTTAACTGTGAAATTTTCATAACACCTGCAATTGAAAAGTAGCATTTCAGTACTTGATACACGGTCATCGCTCAGCCCCTCACTGACTATCGTCTGTGACGTGTGGCACTTGCATAGCGATGGATCGTGACTTGACACCTGAGGATGACATAGCTCTGGGATAAAACATCAGCTAACAGCTGATCGACCACCAACATACGCTTCCCTTGGAGTACAATTCCTTTGAGAGACTGACTGCAACTATCCATGCAAAAGAGGATGCCCATACTGGAGGTCCCACAATAAAGGGATATCATAGGTATCATAAAGGTAGCACAAAGATAAGAAGAGTTGGTGTTGCAGCTTAAGAGACATGAAGAGAGACATATTTGTTTGTGTACAAATGCAAAAGAAGGCAGAGCGCACGGCATCATGAAGAGCACGATGAGAAAACTAACCTTGGAGTCAATGAAGGAATTCAACAGCAATCACCTATCAGTTACATGGCAGAGCTCTTGAAACTATCTCACAATGTACTTTCTCTTTCCCCAGCCCTCATTACCTTTCCCAAGTTGACAAAATTTTCTCATATAACACAGAAGGAAAAAAACCCACCACAGTACTTCCTTATGTGAAAGCACAAAGACTTTGGCCCAAAGTCTGCTTTCCCTCACTAACTGTGACAAGCAAAAACGTGAGCCAACTAAATCGGTGACTAAACATCGTATGGACACAATACTCTGCTCCAGTCAGTATAACGTTCCCTGAGCCCTGAAAATGTATTAACTTTTTTCAGTGGGGAAAAAAAACAAACAAAAACAAACAAAAACCAAACAGATAGAGCATACTCACACTGCTAAACTCTGATTTTGATTTAAAAAATAGGAATAAACTAGGTGTTTCTGCTTCCTTTTCAAGCAAGGGAAGAGACGCTTCCTTGTATAAATGCTTATTATCCATCACATCACAATATTTGAACTAATTCCTCATGGTGACCCAGGTCTATTTGAGCATAACACACACATAAATGTCAAAAAGAAAACTTGAATATATATTCATCTTTGTTTTTCCAGTTGTCAACATTCTAGTGTTTCTAGCCATCAAAAGGCAGGGAAAGTGCAATCATGGGATACAAATCACATGCTTTAAAAAAGCACCACCAGGGCAAAATGCAGAACAAAAGCCTACTCATCATTAAGAAGTTTGGGGTACAGGCAGGAAAAAGAGGGAAATATTACACATTTCCCACTATGTGCTTTTTCTGTGTCCAGCATCTGTAAGGCTTATGACATAAGCATTTTCTGCCACCGCTCCATGCTACTATGAAATTTTGTTAACCATTGTGTCAATAGCAAGACAAGAACTCTGCATTTAGTCTCAACAATCAGAAAAAATAATATTCCCTAAATGGACAAAATTTCATTCCAGATGCACAAGGTAGGTAAGCAAAATTCACACATGTGAGTAACTGCCCTTACAGCTCTTACCGTGCTTGCAGTTATGATGTGAAAGGGGCATTAAAGCCAATTGTTCTAGGAGTTCCAAAAATCCTCCACTGCCACTCAGAGAATGCACCATTTTAATAGGACAGAAGGATGAAAGATGCCTCACATGTTCTCAGTTACAATACTGAATGTCCTTAAGTTCTGTAACACCGCTTAGACACAAGACTTGTAAATTAAAATGTTCTATGATAACATTGTTTATAAAACCTGCATCTTCCAAAACATTTTTCTTGACTATTTTAGCGTTTTCTAACACAGAGGCAAAACAGATACTCAAAAAGAAATATTATGCTAAAGTTCAATAATTTGGATGTAAAGTCACAGATACGCTGATAGTTGTAAATGGTCTGAGATTTGAATGATTTTCCACTCCAGTTAAATATATTGAAAAGTATATTCAAATAATTAAAAAGTGCTGGAAATAAGCAGTATTTGAAATTAATAGAAGACATATATTCACCCTGTTGCATTCATTATTTTTAAATTACAGATCCCATAGATTGAGAAATGCAGCAAAGTTAAAATGAAGCAATTTTGTTACTAAATATTGTCATTTAGATTAAAATGTATGCATCTGCTGAATCCAAAAGCCAAACACTACTAGTGCTGCTTGCTTATATTATTTGTAAAATCTAAAACAAACTGTCAACAACCAATGGGGAACAACTAGAAAAACATTAAATATGAGAAACTAAAGACCCAATTTCCCTGTCTCCCAGGGGAACTATTTTCTTACATGGTACGGGTTGCCAAGCAAAAGATGAACATTTCAAGAACATAACATCATATTAATCGAACAATTCCAAATAGCTTAATAAAGGGTCTATACATAATAGATGCTGTGACAAGTGGTTGTAAGTCTAAAAGGCTAAGAAGTTGCTTATAACCTTCTTTTATCCGTTGGTTATGGGAGAACATCCCTTAGTTCAAATACACAATCCTTTAACGTGTTGGTAACATGGTTAATAATTTAAAACCTTTCATAAGATTATTTTAAGGGATGAGAGACAAGTTTCAAACGATCCGGATCGTGCAAAAGGCCCAGGTCTAAAAACCCAAATGCTGGTTTGTCAGATCTCCACATCAGTCTGACTTCTGATCATTTCAAATTCCACCTTTTAGTTTGGGAAAAACTACTTGAAGTGACCTACTGTGCAATTCTACATATCATCTTGCATAGGATATTTAGTAACATATGAATGCTAGCAACTTTTGTTCACTGACCAAAGAATAACAGCTCTTCAAAACCAGAGTGGAAAACCCCTGCATAAAATACAGCATCACCACCAACCAACACACAAATGAAAGCGCGTGACTGAATTTTTACTTACACTTGTAAAGATACTAGTTTCCTTGGGGGACTGCACACAATTTCTTCCCAGCAACTCAGGACAGATGGTAAAGTTTAATTGTTGCCAATTTTCTGTTTCAACTTCAGTACATTTTGAAGGCAAACATTTAAAATACATTTTGTATTTATTTTCCATCAGACTTGCATATCATTTATACAAATGTCAGCAACCAGGTCTTATCACATCTCTATTGATCCACATATTTTATCCGTACGGCTTTTTTTATTCCACTCAACACTACCATACTTTGTAACAAATTTGAACAAACCAGCCAAGGAAAATGCTTGTATTTGTGGAGAAGGATGTCTCTTAAATAATTCACCATTTTCCTATATCATCTTCCTAAGGCCTAATTCCTCATTAGCAGCAGCAGAAGGAACGCAATAACACTTCAGAATAAAACCTCTTCTCTAATGTTTTCTTGGTCACTTTTAACATTAAATTCCAGAAAGTCCTCAAGAATGCCCATCTCCAAGACCTCGTCAGTGGCAAAATACAAAATGACATACGAAGAGTTCAACTACAGAGAATTGAGGTGCTTACCTGGATCAAGACTTCTGAATTGTAATTGCAGTATTTTCCTTTAGTTCACAGTCATCATTCCCCTCTCAACAGCTCCAAAGCCAATATTGGTGTTAGCTAAAGGTGGAGGAAAAAAAAAAAAAATCAACCCAAATTTAATTTAAAGAGAGAAACGAAAGAAGAGAAAATCTGAATGTTTTACAGATGCTAAGAATTTGCTAAAGCATTTATAATAAAGGGATCAATTTCACTAAGCATACACTCAATACACTGAAATCTTTAAGAGGTAGATATACACCTAACAAGTCATGGAAACAAGTTTTCTTTTCATGATACTTGGTTATCCTATTTATTTCCTAATAGTCCTACAGCCATAAAAGGCCAAAGAACTCTGACCTTGGCAAACTAACTAAGCAAGAAAAGGCAATCATGTGTACAAGGTTGTCACCTACACCACAAATTATGATAAAATATATCTCAGTATTGGAAAAAATAGCTGTATGTCTTCAGTGACATCCACTGTAGTACGTTTAAGGATTTGAATAGGACAGCAATTTATTTTGCACTAAAATGTTTTATGGTTATCATAAAGCATTATGTCTTCAGAGACTGAAAGGTGATGTTTTTATGGACTGTCGCTTCTTGTTGCATTATCTTCACAGCTTGGAAACTAACCTGCTTTTTTTTTTTTTTTCCTCCAAAGTGCTCCCCTGCCCCACTAATAAAAGGAGGCACACAATGGTTCGGTTTGATCAAAAGGAAACTGAATTAAGGAAACTGTACAAGAAGCATATTTCTGACACAGAAGAATTTCACAATGAATTATTATCCAGCTAATTAGAGAAATAAATAATAATAATTGCCTTTCCCTCCTCATTAGAGTCTCAGAAAATGGACTCCCAAAGCATAGTTCTTGTCTTTGATTTGAAAAATTTGGACAACGTTGGTTTTAGCATCACTTTGCCAAAAAGCCAGTCCTATTGTGCAATGACTGAATGAAGGACAGGCAGACAGATAGGTTAATGTGTAAAACGTCCTCCCTTTTTTAGCTTAAGAATAGTTTTGCGATAGTAAATTGAGTAATCTGATGTGGTTAGTTTGCTCTTCCAGAGAGCCTGAACTGCCAGCGAGGCTTAGGTGGAACAAATGTACAGCATGTCCCTTTGACATGTTAATCTGAGGGATTTCAAGCTCATCTATGCCTATGTAAATTGCAGATAGCGTGAAAATTGATTATGAATCAATATTATGAATATATCAAAGCCCCTTCCCCTTCATCATGTCCTCTAGCATTTGACAAATATCACACTTCCACATGGCCAGCAGTGGCCCATGCTTCTGTCACCTTTGGATTTTAAGGTACTGTTTGCCAGGTGCACCTTAAAAGGTTACATTTTGAACAGACTGCCTGCCAAAGCCAGCACATTTTAAGCATATTACTTGATGTTGAAGGAATTTTACTGGCTTCTAATGAGGCAGCGAATTAGCCTTAAGGGGTCTAGTCTCAATTTGACACGTGCATTAAACGGAGTTATGCACGTCACATAACTAATCAGTTTATCTAGGCCTTAATATAGGTCTCACCGTGGTTTCTAAGCCAATCAAGCCTTTGGAAAATTACCAGAGAGAACAGGCCCACAAGAACCTTTTTTCCCACTGATGTTATATGAGGCTGTTCCGAAAGTAAAGCATCCTATTTATTTTGTTGGCCCACAACATCGGAGGTGGATGTTGGTGGTAGTATGGCAATAGAGGATGAATCTTCCCACTAACATTCTGTTCCATTTTGCTACCATGCAACAGATGGCAGCAGTGGGGCAGTTTGACAGAATGGTGTCTGACATCGAAGTGTGGATGGAGCCAAGTGTGCCACTGAATTCCTCTGCATGGAAAATATTGCACCCAGTGACATTCATCAATGGTTGCTGAACATCAATGGAGACCAAACAGTGGGAGTGAGCAGTGATGTGGTGAGCGGTACATTTCAGCAGTGGCGACAGCACCTCCACTGGTGCAGATTTGTATGAGCACAGCATGACTAACATGTGGCAACAGTGCTGAAAAATAGCGTTTTGTAGCTGACCGTTTGCTCAATCAGTTTGTGCTACTATGCTCTTTGTACCTGCTAAGGTTTCCATCAAACTACATAGGGAGCACTGCATGTAGATTGCTTCAGAAGTTTTTCCCATCCTCCTCCCCAAATATGAGCAGTAGCACCTTTGAGGCTCTCGAGCACTGCTTTATAAGACAGCGAAATAAAGACAGGGCACACGGATTCAAGAAGATGAGACTAAAATATGGATAAAGCTAGAAGAACAAACACAGAATTTCTGTCTGCTCCAGACTCTCCTTACTCTGATAAGACTGTAACAGAGCAATTTCAGTTTCATTTTATTTTTTTTAACCTAGTGGCATAAAATTGGTGACAATCAACAAATCACTAAAGTAGCCTGAATGTTAACACATTCACTTATCAGAAATAAACCTATATGTCAGTTTACGGAAGAGGCTCTTTGCCATAAGCAACACAGTTGATGCCCAGACTTCACAGAGTATGTTCCCTCAGGCAGCAGTGCTGTAGCATCTCTTGAACTACTCAACATTATTTCTTTGTATTGCTTTATTATTTTAGTTCTGTTCAGATAAGAAACTTCAATTTCAGGTGTAAAAAGGAACAACACTGACAACCAAGAACACAAAATTTTCTCCTCAGAGAACAGAAGTCTGGGAGGTGACCTGACAGCAGCTTGGAGTATCTAAGGGGCAGCTGCAGGAAAGAAGGGAAAGACTCTTCAGCAGGGTCTGTGGTGACATAACAAGGGGAAACGGTTTCAAGCCCAAAGAGGGTAGATTTAGGTTAGATACAAGAATCTTTCACAGTGTGGATGGTTGGGCACTGGAACATGTTGCCCAGTGCTGTGATTGATGCCCTGTCCCTGGAGACTGTCAAGGTGAGGCAGCATAAGGCCCTCAGCAACCTGATCTAGCTCTGGTGTCCCTATTCATTACAGGAGAGCTGGACTAGATGGCCTTCAGAAGTCCTTTCAAAGCTGAAGGATTCTATGATTTGATAATTTTAAGTTTTCTATCCCTTGATTATTTTTACATGAAAATACAACACAATGCTGCAAGCTTTCAGATGCACTAGATAAGGAAAATAACTCCCTAACCTCTTAGGTATTGCTAAGTCTTTCCTACCTAAGGTAATAAATGGCTAATTCCAGTGAGCACAGGAAAGCACCACTGCTGATGAAACTGACAATTTCAAGAGAAATTTGAATTTCTCTTCAGTATCACTTCATCTTCAGCTATGCTCCTCAGTCAAATAAGGATTCATCATTTTTCTCATTTTGGTATTGCACATTGGCTTAGTTTCAGATGGGATAGAATTGTTTCCTTCAGAGTGTCTGGTATGATGCAGTGTTTTGGTTCAAGGATAAAAACAATGTGGATAACGCATAGCTGTCCATAGTTGCTGCTAAGCAGTGGCGTACAGAGCCACGGCCATTCTCAGCAAAGGGCCCAAGGAGCTGAGAGAGCACGGAATCAAGACAAACTGGCCAAAGAGACATTCCATACTATTTAACATCATGTCAAATCATAGAATTGCTCAGGTTGGAAAAGACCTTAAAGAGCATCAAGTCCAACCATAACCTAATCACACTACCGTAACTCAAGCCTCCGCTAAATCATGCCCCTGAGCACCACATCAAAACGGTTTTTAAACACTTACAGGAATGGTGACCACCTTCTCAGGAAGCCTATTCCAGTGCTTAACAACCCTTTCTGCAAAGAAGTTTTCCTGATACCCAACCTACACCTTCCCTGGCACAACTTGAGGCCATTTCCCCTTGTCCTGTCACCTGTTATCAGTGAGAAGAGACCAACCCTGCTTTCTTCACAATCACCTTTCAGGTGTTTGAAGAGAGCTATAAGGTCCGTCCCCTCAGCCTCCTCTTCCCAGACTAAACAACAGGAAGAAGTATCAGTGTTTCTTTGTTCCTACCACCCTGTAAATGCTGTAGCAATTAGACAGATCAGGACAAGAGGAAAGGCATTACAACAAAGGTGTGATGACAGAAGGATCAGCACAATAGAAAGGTGCTATAAAGGAAGGGAAGAAAATTGCTCACCCATACCAGAAGATTCCAGGTTCACAAGAGAAAGCTTCACCAAGGAGAATCTCCAGGAAGAGATCCTTCCCCAGTGGCAGTCAGCCCTTCAATAGGGTCTAAGAGAGGTGCAGCCAGGCTCCACCCCTTCTGGTCACACAGCTGCATTGCATTCACCTGTGCTCCCAGGGCTGACCGGGTCCTTTCCACAGGTGCTCCATCAGTGGGGCAGGCCGGGACTCAGCAGCTCTCATACAAATGCCCATCTAAGTCCTCACTAATTCCAGTGGCCATATCATTACCTCATTGTGAAGGAAAAGAAGAAAAAAGATCCTGACAAATACAGCGAAAAGGAGATGCTGGAAAAAACAAATTACAAAGCATAAAAGCTAACAACTCACTGCTCCTTAGCATTTATAACTTGTTCTAAAGTAAGAGACACATCCATAATTTAAACTATTCAAAATTCCTTGCAGAAGCCAGTGTGAGGTCCTTCCCATTAGTGAGAAAAGCCTGGTTACCAAGGCAAGCCAGCTCAGTGCCTGAAGTCCTCAGCACATGCTCAGGGTTACAAATGTGAATAACTGTCCCACATTCCTCAGCTACCTGGCAATTGCTGTATTCAGGTCAGGCAATGATGGGTATCTATTTATTGCACTGGGAGACCACACTAATTCTTGCTTTGTCACCACCCAAATTCTGCTAACTCACAATATAGTGTGAAGTTTCCTTCACTCAATCTCTACAAAGAAAGAATTGTTTTTAAAAAAAAAAAAAAGTTTTTGCAATGCTATGTTACTAAATGGTGATCTAAAGCTCATTAAAGTCGATGGAAGTCTCCTCACTGCAATGGGAGAGGTACTTCCTTTCTACTCAGCATATGCAAAATATACCACAAAAAAGACATAAATAACAAGTAGAAAATTCTGCATCAATGCAATCAACCCGTAAAAAAGCAGAGAGGTTCATTTTTAAGCATAGTTTTGAATGAAAATCCTACTGTGC